AAACACAATGTACTCAAACCAAGCATAGAGAAAATGTGGCTTAATGACTTATCAATTTTTTCCTCCATTCTCTCTTATGAGTTCTTTATACTAACTTAATTAATAGAGAGATTAAGGAATAAGAACCGTCCTTGTTTTTTCATTATTTTTTCTGTACGGTGAAGTTGAGTATTTGTTCAAAAGCATATATGAAAACTCGTTTTTATTTTATTTTCTAAATTTAGTTAAAACCTCCTTTTACATTAAATTAGTATTCACTTTGAATGTGAAAAGTAATGAAACTAAAGTTGCCTAATAAGTTTTATTATCAATCGACTGTTGTTTTTAATTATGAAGACACATGCCTTTCATGATAGAATAATTAAACTTTTTTGCTCACTTTATTTGTAAAATACTACATGAAAGATAGCTATTAATCCAAAAATCGTTTTTATGTAATAATCAACACTGAGTTTGTTCGTCATCGCCTTTCTCAACTTGACTGAATAGTTTATTATTCATTTCTTTCCACTTGAATTCTGCAATCCTCACAATGGTCTTAATTTACCTACGCATACAGACAATGATAAGAGATGAACATGTTAGAAAATAAAGAACCCTAATCGGTTGTGATCGATTATAATCAGTATTTGTTGGCTATAGGTGGTTCTGAGATTAATAATTATTATCGATTTGAAAGTCTAGTCGATTCTAGTAGATTATAATCAGTTTCATTGGATCTTAGATGAGTCTTATTTTACTAACTATAATCAATTTGAAAACTTAATCGATTTTGTTAGATTATAATACGTGATAACTGATTTTATTCAATTCCTATAAAGAAAATTGATTGATTTCGAATCAATTAAACAAAGAAATCGGTTATAATCTTCAATTTAATCCAAAAAGTCTAATTTTCTAGGTTTTCATCGATTAATTACTCTTGACATCGATTGAAATCAAGGATCTCTTGATTTTTAGCCTTATTTTTTTTTACATGGGTAGTAGCTTTTGAAAGAATGGTTAGTGTCATTCAGAATACCAATTTCAACATCAATAGGAATAAAAAATTAGCTAAGTGATTCATTTTTGGTATGTTTCTTTTCATAATATTAACATATATTCATGATCCAATTCATCGTCAACTTATTAATGATTTTGATATTGATGAAGATAGAATTTGGTGCTTCGCTCGATATTCATCGAATGTCAATATTTATGATAGATTTCTTACTCTCTTTCATTTTCTCGTTCCACTCTCGATCAATTTCATTTCTACTATTGTTATTATTATAAAAGTAGCTCGACGGCGTTCTACCTTGCAATCTGCACTAACATACAAAGAACATTTACTAAAAGAAATAGGTCGACATAAACATCTTTTGATTGCGTCTTCTGCTCTGGTACTATTGACTCTGCCACGCTTAATCATTTCATTTACCAAAGAATGCATGAGATCATCACGTGAGCCTTGGTGGTATCTTATTGGCTATTATGTTTCATTTCTACCATCAATATCGACATTCATAGTCTTCGTTTTACCTGCAAAAATCTACAGAACTGAATTTACTGCAGGAATTCGAAAGTTGATCCGACGCTTTTGTAAAGCTTCATCATTTTCATCATACAATTTAATCTCCGCCGCTTATTATTCTTAATCGACTGACAGTAAGACAAAATTTTATGAAATAAAAAAAGCTTTAAATCTAAAATGTATACATGTGGTTTGAAATAAATAAATTCTCTTGAATATTTATTATCTATAATAATGGTAATCGTCCACTCCAAGAAAAAGGTACGCTTGGAAATCGAGGAAAAAAAATTTCTGCGTGTTCGGAAACCAATTTCTTATCATAGGATACCCTTTCAAGAATTTCCGAGCCATTGGAAACTCCTAAAGGGTATCCGATAATAACGATCCGGGAAATCAAAAAGGATTCCAGAGCCTTCAGAAGGGTGTGGGTGTGACTAGAGTGGGTGGATGAACAAAAGACAAGCATTCACCACACTCTAAAAGAATAGATATTCTCAAAAACCGAAGAATAAATGTTCTCGAGGATTCGGAAATCCATGAAAGGGTATCCGAGAGTAAGATATGGGTTTCTGAATCCTCGAAAACCTTTTTACGTCAGTTTCCGAGATAACCTATATTTTTTAGAGTGCACACCCTCACCCCATGCTAAAATCCTGTCCCCGAAAATTCATATAGATTATTGTTTATTGTCTTATATTGTTCAACAAAATTATTTTAAAAACTCACTAAACTTATAAAAATGCTGTATACGTTTAGATGAAGTTTTCATTGTTTTTTACAAATAAGTTTATGATTATAAGTTTTCCAATCCATTGTTTGGCATTCTTTGGAACAGTAACGTGCTTTATCACATCTACTACAAACATGTCGTGCATTTGGTTCGCCACAACAACGACACATATTAACCACTCTCTCAGATTCATCTTGCATGATAATCGATAAGAAATCGTCAATACGAATATAAGACTTCATATCATTTCCACCTATTCGTAGGTATGGATTTATAATATGCATTTTGCTACCGATTGTATACACTTTCTTGGTATGATGTTCGCCTTGTCCATCACGAAAATTATAAATGAACATTCGTTCACAATCACGATGTTCATCTTCAATGACAAGGTGAATACATGAAACCCACGAGTACGCATCTTCAATAATTGTTACCTAAAGCATAGATGTCACAACATCATTACACCTAGTAACAAGATTGTAATGTCAAAATACCCATGGAGTATTCGAGTCAGGAGCAATCAGTTATAACGAGGAGCCATACACTGTCTGAGTTGATTTGGTGCAGCGACTTTTAGGGTAACGACTTTTAGCGTCGATCGTATGAAAGTGGATACCCTAAAGGGCATTACACCAAAAAAAA